CCCACCTTTCTTTCCTCACCCCAGCCCCAGCATGGCCTTATGAGGTTTCCCAGGGCTGAAAGGCTGAATTCCAGACAAAGAGGGGGGTTGGACAGGATGTACCTTCCCATCCCAGCTATTCCATCCTGTGGCTGCTGGGATATTTCTAAGGAAGAAAATATAGACAAGATACTGAGATGTGGGAAATGTCATGAGGTCCTGGTGCCTGAAGAAGGAATAATTAATAATAATAATAATAAATAAAGTAAGTGGTCCATACTGATGGAGTAAAAAATGGGGGTTTGGTATTGAGACTGAGGGACACTGAAATCTTCCCTGTTTCTCTTGGCATCTTTAATTTCAACACTGATGAACACTGACCAGGGGCACCTTAAAATTTTAAACTTACGTGATATGGAGTGTTGACAAGGCTTTTACAGGATCAGGAGACAGACACCAAATAAAAAATTAAAAAAAAAAAATTAAAAGAGAGCAAAACCTGCCATCCCAAGCTTCAAGCTCTGTAACCCCACCCTGAGCTCCAGTGCAAAACATTCAAGCCCTGGCATCACCTCCCTTTGCCTGGCAATGCCTCCCAGTACATTAACATTCAGAGTTAAACCTGGGGGAGGGCAGCAAAAGTCAGGGATCACAGAGGGAATGAACTCAGAATTAGAGATGGACCTGAACCAAACCCCTGGGTCAGAACAGAACTCCACTAAAGGACAAGCAGGGGGGTGGAATTCTGCAGCTCAGCCCAATCTATAATTCATTATGTATCTCTGGTATTTCTAAGAAGGCTACAGCTGTGATATTTAAATGCCAAACCTTTGTGCATTTTTAGGCTCAGACTTTGGTTGTTGCTTTTGAGAAGCTGGAATAGTTTTTGCTCCTCCCTGCTCCCTGTTTAAAATGGAGAGGAAGAAAGGCCTGGCAGCATCCTAGATAGGTTTAGTTCTTGTTATTGTAACATCAGGGACATTTTGGGTTAGAGAGTCTGGAGCTCAGAGCCAGCTGATGGCCAGTTCACCCTTTTATCAAGGTGGCTCTTCACTGGGCAGAGAAAAATTGTGATTTCCTCCCCAACACACACCTTGACAGCCCAAACTAATTTCCTCAGCTGATGATTTCCACCACAATTTTTCCCTACGGATGAGCAGAACAAGGAAGCATGAGCTGATATTACCAAGCAAGCAGATGAGGAGGCTTGTGCAATGCACAGCATGAAACAGAGCCGGGGGGGAAGCAGGAGCAAGAGTGGTGGTAGTGGAGGGTAAGCCAAATGAGGAGAAGTGTTTCAGACACACAGGGGGTCAAGAGAGCAGCAGAAGTGTTGGTGAGGTCCCTGGGCAGCAGCAGAGGTTGTGAGAGAGGTGCTGCAAACACAGACAGCAAATTATCCCAATTTCCAGCCTTCCCATGGATTTGGGTCACATCATCCACACTGGGGCTCCTCAGCTGCTCTGAGGGGACACAGGCAGCACTGCTGCCTCCTCTACCTCATTCAGGACGTTCTGCCCCACTTCTGGGGGGATTTTTGCCCTTTCCCTGATCCTGTCCAGCCTCAGAAACAGGGAACAATCGTGGGACTACTGATGGTGTCCTCACATCCCATTTCTAAACTAAAAGTATTTTCTTTTTGTTGTTTCTTACTCATTGTCATGTATGTCAAAGAAATTTGTGAGCATTCTGGGGGCTAATAATTTTATATAGAAAAATTATGAATAATATGAAACAATTAGTTGAAATTCTTTTCATAAAAGCTGGAGCAATGCATTCATTGACATTTAACCTCCTCCTTCCCCTGTAATCAAAGTCTTTTAAATAGAAATTACATTAAATTTGATTTCATTTTGGCAGTTATATCTTTTGAAAGAAAAGAAAAAGTTATAGAAGTGGGAGAAACATTTCTGAAGTAAAACAGGCTGTGACAAAGCAGTAAGTATCTCCAGAGGAGAAGAAAAACCTTCTAAAAACTGATCCAGTGGAGCCCTAGAATTATGATGTCAAGGGAAGGAGCACAAGGGAAAAAGTGAGAGAGGGAGACAGATGTATAAAGAAAAATAGGGATGGAGTTAAAACAGTGATAATGTCCTTCCTGATGCCCTGCTCCCACGCAATTAACATCTGGCACAGCTGGAGGGCTGGGGCAGGTACAGAGCCTGGGGGGCTGCAGGGGGTGAGGAGAGTGATGCTCTCCCTTCACATGCAGCATTAAGCAAACAATTGCAGCAGGGTGCAAGGTGGAAAGAAGCTGAATCAGAATAAAAATCCCCTCAGAGAGGGAAATGCAGAGGAAAGGTGAGTTCAGCCAGAGCTGGGGGGTCCCAGCTCGCCTGGAGGGGGATGGCAGGTGGGCAGGTGTGTCAGCCAGGCACTGCTGAGCCTTTGTGGCAATTCCCTCTTTGCTGCTGTCAAAGCAGCCTGGACAGAGCACTGCAGTGTCCATGGCTTTTCCAGTTCTCATGGAATATCCTGAGCTGGGAAGACCCACAAGGGTCATCAAAGCCCAGCTCCTGGCTCTGCACAGGACAGCCTCAGTATCCCACCCTGTGCCTGAGATCATTCTCCAAGCACTCCTGGAGCTCTGAGGCCATGGTTTTGGTTCATACGCCTGGCACAAGCTTCCTCATGGACCACCTATTCCTAAATATTTTCTTTATCAACTCTCCTTGATTCTTTCCTGCTCCTTTTTAGGCTAGAGCCACATGAGGATGGGGAGCAGTGGCTGGGGCTGGGCTGGGAACATCCAAAGCAAGAACTGGGGACAGAAAAACTGATTTTTCTCTTGGCTGTTCACAGAGAACATGTCTGGGGCAAGATTTTTTAAGTGCAGAAGATAAAATCCATCACTGTCAAAACCAAAGGGGAGGTTAGAGCAATATTGAATGGAGTAGGGCTTCCAGCTACTTTTTGCAACCTTAAGAAATAAATCTAAAAGCTTCAAAAGGTCTGTGCTGTACATCCATATTATCAAGGAAAATCTCAGGAAATGATGAGTTCTTTCAATTTCTGCTCTATTTCTTCCATCTTTTTTTTTTTTTTTCCACCCCTTGATAAATACAGGTGTAGGGAGGATCTAAGAACATTGCTTGTGTTCTTTTGCCACAGAATTAAAATTCCTGGAAGGTATCATGCCAGGATATAGAAATTTGGAAAGATGAAGAGTCTTCTGAATAGCTGGAATCCCCAGGTCCTTGGATCAGCCAGGAGAGCAGCTCTGGATTTTTGGGCAGGTGCACAGATGCAGAAACTGTTGCTCTGTTGTCAGAACAGGGTCCACATAGATACTTTTGGTCACTTTATTGTATAAAGAATACTGAAACACAGCAAAGTGCCTTCAGCATGACACTTGAAGAGCTCAGCTTCTCTTCAAATGGGAAAGAAACAAAGTGTGTTTGAAAAAGGGAGGGACCTGGTCAGATTAGAGAGAAAAAGGAAGAGGCAGACTGAAAATATATTTGAGTGTCATGTGAGAGAGAGGTGACTTCATCTTGAACCTACAGGTTAATCCATGACAACCATTCATTTCAAATGTGGGGCCATGAATGCAGCTCGTGGAAACTGGATTATTGTTCCACCGGAGTGTTTGAACACCTCTTCCCTCACAGTGTGGCATCCCTCACCCTCTAAATCCATCCCTGCTTAACAAGCTTTGTGCTTCCAGGAGCTACAAGGGAATCAGTGACTCCTTTCCCAGCTTTTGTTGTCAGTCTTGCCCAAATCCAGGAGCTCAGCCTGCCCTGAAGACTCCTGGCAGCTTGGATGTACTGCTTGATTTTACTTCTGGGCTCTGGGCAATATTAATTTTTTAAGGCAAGGTTGGCTTTCAAACATTTGTTGAAGGCATGGCTGGTGAAGCTGAGATCCATCTCCTTCCTCTTGCTGCTCCCTCATTGTTATTTTGGTTTTATTCCTCCCTCATCTCAGCTGCTGTAACCTGTTCCAGAGTGCCCAGTGATTCTCTTTGCCTCCTCCTCTGGCTGAGCCACCACACACATGGTTATCCTCTGATGTAGGAAAGGTGGTGATTTTTCCAGAGAGTTCTGGAAATCCCTGGATGCTGTTTTGGGCAGGTAGAGTCACGTCTTTGCCACCAGAAGCCCACGGGATGGTGTCCCACTGACCTGACATGACTCCAGGTCACTGCCATGCTAGAGACCATAACAAGGGGTCCTTGTGTCCAGCCCTTGAAGGAGTGACCCAGGATTCCATCCCCAGGGATTTGCCTTTGGAAACAGACTGGTAAAAAGCAACCTTTCCATGAACACTTAGAAGTTGTTGAGTTTGGTGCTTATTTTTTTCCTTTTCTCCTTTTCTTCCGCTCTCCCTTAAAGGGACAATAAATGAAGAGTTTATCTGTAATTTTCTCAGCAGGACAACTGCATTGAAGTACCAGGCAGGATCCCCATTGTATAAATCAATGTGTTCTCTCTCGAGCTTGGGCCTTCTGATAATAAGCTAAACAAGAGCTGCCTCCTTACAGCTCCACGGCTGTAATCAGCAAACAGGTGAGCACAAGAGCTTTCCTCATGCTAATGGGGGGAGTGGGAGGTTGTTAATTTGACCTGGAGTGTGGATTTAGTCCCTCCTGCCGTGGAGCTGTTGCTGCAGTTATCTCTTATTTCCAGTCCAGACATGCTCTGGGAACCATTACCATATTTATGAACCTACCTGGACTCACTGAACAGGCATGAAAGGGTTAGAAAGACCTATCTGTTTTACCAGCTGTGCAGCCAGCATCTGCAAGTGAGAAAAGGAGGGGAAGGAGGAAAAAAAAGAGGTTATTCTGCATTTTCTGGGGGTGTATTGGCCCTCAAAGGCAGCATTCATTAACCTTAGAGAGCAGAACAACCCATCCTGGCCAGATAAATCTGTGTACAGGTCACCACCTGCCCCTGAGCAGATTTACCCCCATGCCAGGGCAGATTTCTCCGAGTGTGGCTGATGTATTGCAGGCAAGAGGAGAACATGGGCTGGGGATCAGGAGATGCAGTGACAGGAGCAAGAGGGGTCTGTGCTGCAGGTTCTAATTCCAGCCTCAGGAATGGTTTTAATAGGTGATTTTAGCCAAGCAAGAGGATTGTGATGATTATGACACAGCACATCTTCTTTCCCAGGTAATGAGCAATGGTAAGAGGTCTTAAATCCTCGCACAGGACATGTTCAGGATCCAAAAAGCATGATCACAGCTGTTCTAAATGAAAGGTTACTGGTATGTTTTTTCTGCTAACTTTGTTATCACTAATCTAATCCCTTAGTGGTTCTGTAATCCCAAAGACAAAAACAATGAAAAATAGTCTTGAATTACAAAGTATGAATTCTATTAATTCAGTGTAGCATTGCAGAGTCTGTTGCTCAGCCTGGGGCACTGAGGACTTGCAAGGACATTTGGGGAGTCCTTGGTGTTTTTTGGGGGAAGGCTGCAGGGGATTCCCATCCCTCCCGAGTTCACAGGCTGAGGTTTTAACCAGAGCACCTCTTCCAGCTGCTGGGAACGGGCTCTTTCATCTTCATCTTTGAAGAGGAGACGACAGAGTGATTGTAACGCTGTCCTTCACATGGGAAGTGGAAGAAGCAGCTCCACAAGCCACAGGGGTGGTTTCCTTACAGAGAACAGGTCAGATCTGCTAAGAATTTACTGGGCCTAAAGAAAAAAAAATCACTGTAAAGGCTAGGAAAAAAAAAAACCTTTGGGGTTTTTTTTGGGACTTGTCTCTCTGTAGCAGCACAGACATGAAGAAGATAACACTGAGAGATGATTCATTCTGCTTGCTCTGGTGAGGGTGGCTCGGCAGCTACTTACACCCTATGTGAGGGAAAAGGAAAAAATATTGATCCAGAGTTCCCACATCTATGATCTACATCCTTGTGCTTCCCTTAAAGGAAATTTATTGCTCCTCATCAGCAATAAATCAGAAGCCCAACTTCCCTGCTGCTTCTCAGACAGAAACACTGTTGTACAGCATGAGAGAAACTCCCCAAAGAGCAGCATATGAGGGTCAACACACAGGCAAGTCTGGGTGACATTTCAGAGCTGGGAGAAGAGAGACAGATCAGCTGCCAATATGCTGGAAAATAGCAAGCTTTGACTTACATTTAATTCCTTTAATAGCTGTGTTTAGTTTGTACACTACTGTATAAATAGATATGTATTTATACTAATATTTATAAATGTATGTATAAATATGTCTTTCCAAATATATATTTATGAAAGCAAACAAAATGAATACATATTTATAAGGAAATATTTGGTGCATTTAATAAACATACACAACCTGCTGCCATTCTAGAGGATAAAACAAGGTGGAGAAAACTGAAAGCAAACCTAAGCAAAAAATAACCTTAGATTGACATTTTCTTCCTAATGGATCCCAAAGCTCTGTTTTACTCTAATTTACTCACCAGTAAGAGATCCAATTCTGATGTGCAGCAGTTTCTGGGATGAGCTACAGTAATTGTGTAACCAGAATAGCTTCACCATGGCTGAGTGCAGGCTGGCAAGTGAAAGACTGCTTTTCCAATGCAACACGGGCAAACTCATCCTGGGTGAAATTATTCCCAGTTTACAGCAAGTAAAGTCTGAGCACAGTATTGAGCTGGGAGCATGTCTGTAGTGTATACAGCAGAAACAAGCTTTATAGAGCTAGATTACAGCAGTTTAGAGGTCGATGAGAACTAAAAAAAGAAAAAAAAGCAGAATAAGTTTGCCCACTCTGAGCAAGGTACTGCTAGTTTAAAGCAAGCTTGGGTACTTTTCCAGCAGTGTGCTGCACAGCCACTGAATCCTGGAGGAGTTCAGAGAGGCTGGCATTTGGCTTTGACCCCAGGGTTAATTTAGCTGCTCTTGCAAAATGAGAAATAGGAACCCAGGTCCTCGTCTCCTGTGCTCTCCAGTCAATTGAGTGACACGGAGGTAAAACTGGTGTGAGCAGGAATTGGGATCTCTAATGAACAGGAGCTGCCAGGAGCTTTCCAGTGCTTGCAGGAGGTGTCAGGATGATGTCTGCTGAAAACAGACTGGCACAGGAGGACAGAGAACATTTTGTTTTGGGATGTTTCCCAAACTCGTTGTGGAAACAGCTGGGATATTTACTGCAGGAATTCAACCCTGAGATAATGGTCCCTGGGATCCCCAGGTACCAATTTCTCCTACACGCTTCCCTCCACAGGAATTGCTCTAAGGCCAGTGCAGAGATGAGCCTGGGACTATTCTCTGTACAAAAGTCCCTTCTGGTGTGACACCTCAGACACAGCCACCCAAGGGTGCTGCACTGGCCATTCCCAACTCTTCCTCACCCTCCTCACCCACAGATTTGCTCCCTCCCACCACTTCCCGAGGTGATTATTCCCCTGCAGCTGTACATTCCTCTGCCAAAACCTTGTCCCCACATTAGTCAAAGAGTTCAAAGCTGGAGATGCTGGATTAACAGTAGATCTTGACTTAATTCTGCTCAGGCAGTCCATCCTAGTCCCTCTCACAGCCACCTCTCCTAATCCTGTGTGATTTTCACAGTCCTTCAGTTTTCCAGGCCCTGTGGCCTCTCCCCAGGCATTGCATGGAGCAGGCTCTGGCTGCAGGCACAGCCTCCACGTGAGAAACCAGACATTTCCTCAGGTGGAAAACAACCTTTTTTTTTCCCACATTTTCTTTTAACCTGCTATCTTTTGGAGGAGTGCCAGCTGATTTCAATACCCAGGGGCCTGGGGATGCAGCCAGCTTTGCTCTCTCCTTGCCCACAGACAGGAAGCCGTGCAGCCAGACGCCTTTGGAGAGAGGATCAGGTCATCTCAGCTGCCTCAAAGGCAACCAGCCCCTCTCTCATCACTTAGATTTAAATCACAGCTCTTTTCCCCACTCCAAGGTCTCATTAGTGCCCCCAGGCTCGTGGAGCAGCAGAAATGGAGGATCCTTGCCAGCTTGGGATTGTTATTTCTGTCATACTCAGCAGGAAAGCAGAGCCCTGCTTGGTTTAGTAACTGGATTAAAACAAACTGCAGCTCAGGGTTTGATCTCAAACACTCCACTTTTCAGCAGTGCTATTTAACCTAAGTGTGTCCTCTCTTCCAAAACTTCCTGGTATCAACATCTGTCTCAGCACTGCCTGCTCTGAGTTCTGGATGGCTCCATGAATGAACTCTTTTCAAATGCCATCAATATTTTATGAATTTCCATCCACTTACTTTAATGGGGGATTGTAAAAGCATTTAACCATATTACACCCAATCTCTCAGACACTGCATTATTTCAGCAGAGATGTTTTACTAGAAGCAACTGGCACAGCTGCTATGATATTGTTTAAATATATTATATATATATATATATATATATATATTTCTCAAACCAAGTGAAATGAGAAAACGGAAGGGGAAGCAGCCATGGGAATTCAGTGTCTCAGGTTTATTCTGATGCACCTGAAAGGTTTCATTTGCTGTGATTTGCATGACTACAGGTAGGTTCTTTACATGGCTTTTTACAGATTGGGCTCAGACTTGAGTCTGGATGTCTGATGGCCTAAATCCAGATGGAAAGATGTGGCACTGCCTAGAAATATTGCCAGGGAGAGTCCCTGCTGCTCAGCCTGAGACTTCCCTCACTGAGAACACCTTAAAGCCCCCTGACTGACCAGGGCTCAGCTGTGAGTTTATTCCCTATTTTGCTCTTGCTGGGCATCAGCAGGCACAGGCAAGACAGTTATTAGTTAGTTATCCATTATCAGTTATCAGCCATGCCAAGCAGAAATCTTGGAGACGTTTTAAGGTTTTTGCCAAGAGACCCAAAAGTCCCTGCTCTGCCCCCATCTCTGCTCTAGCAGTGAGTGAGAAGCTTGTGAAGAGCTTTGGGAGATCCAGCCCCAGACCCCCAAAGCACCCTGGAGCCAGGAAAGGCCACCCTGCCTCAGAGCAGCACCAGCTCCACCAGCAGAGGATAAAGATGCCACTTTCTCCCTCTCTCCCCTCTTCCAACCCCTGTTTATCTCCAGCACTGCACAAAGGCCTTTAAAACCCCATTGAGCTGCTTTTGACCATGTCTCTGTTGGGTGAATGAATTTATGGTCTGCCAGGCTGATTTATGGATGCCTGCTGTTCCTGGAGCAGGAGGGCTGGTGATTTTATACCTCCAGCCAAGCGGGACAGGAGTTGTTCTGATCAAAGAGGCACTGATTTAGCCGGGATGATTGATTCCAGCCTGAAGAATTACAGAAGGATCCCACTCACACTCCACAGCCATCACAGGGCAGAGGCTTCTTCTGCCATCAAAGACACCAAGTCTGAAGCCTGGCATGCTGGAAACTGTTACCCTTCCTAATTCCTCCTATTTACCATGAAATCAAGCAGCTGTTCAGCCTTTGCCATTGATGTTAAAACAACAGCAACCACCTGGTGCTCCTGGCTGTCCCTTCTGTGTCTCAGGGGTTGGCATGGCAGAAGGAGCAGCTCCACAGTGCCACAGAAAGAGTCACAGAATTATGTGGGGTGGAAAAGACCTCCAGGATCCAACCTTTGTCCCTTCATCACCTCGTACCCAGAGCAGAGCTCTGAGTGCCACAGTCAGACATTCCAGCTCCAGGTGGTTCTGATGTGTTAAAGCACCTCACTGGGTTTGCTCTCCAGGATTTGTGCAGCCAAGGAGTGTCCCTACCTCACTCACTGGCTTTTAGTATCAGTTAACAAAATAGATTATCATATTAAATTAATAGAATTTTATTATAGTTATCATGACAATCATTATTACATTAACATATATTAATTACTGCAGATGGAGACCTGAATTTTATATAATATTCCATACATAGTGGTTCAAATCATTGCTTTAAAACTTTTCCATCAAATACTCCTAAGCCACAAATAGATCCTAGAGATTCCTCTTTTGTAGGACAGATAGTACACACACAAACCCAAAGTTTATCCTCCTGTGGAGTTCTTTTTAAAAAATATTTTGGTGGCAAATGCTACAGTTTTCATCCAAACACCCTCCTCCTCCATGTCTCCATGCCCTCCATGTCAATATCCAGCCAAATTGTATTTCCAAATATTTTCTACTTTGTGACTCCTAATCAAAGTCAAAGAGGTATAAAGAATAAGAAATTCAGAACTTCTCCTTCCATCTGTCCAGAAAGGAAGGTCACAAACTACAGTAACTTCTGGACCTATTCATCAAACTCTTGGAAGTCACAACTCCCAGATTAAAGGAGCAGTGATTGATGATACCTTTTCTAGGGGTTACATTGGAAAAATGTTCTCCTTATAATGGAAACAGAGAAGAAATTAGTTCTCCTATCTCTCTTGAGTCTCAGTGGAAGAGGAAAACTGCAGATAAGAGGTTAAATCAAAAAATCTTTCCTCCCCAAAGCCTGACCACTGAGCTTAAAAGTTCTTTACTCATCTTCCTGCTTTTACATTTTCTCTACATGTCCCCTCAGCTCATCCTGATTACTTTGGCTACATCAAAATAGGACACTTTCAGTAGAAACTTTAGTCAAGTTATTTTAATATTTCTGGGTCCAGCACCAATAAAACAGGTTATTCTAGTTTCACAGAGAACCTTCTTGACTTTTAACGAAAACTTCATCGCTTCCCTCTGCCTTTGGTCTCGTACCTCCCTGTCAGGCCTTGGTCTCACGAGAGGGTTAGGCACTGCAGGGATAAAATTTAGGGAAAATAAGGAAATATTTGTGCTATGACTCATTAATACCTGAGGGCCCTCGGTGCACCTGTGGAAAGTCACCCTGTAAAGTCACCATTCATCACACTGGCAAAAACAGAGGAAAAGAAAGACAAGAGATATAAAAGAGTGGCCTGGATAAGATGTGAGCTCTCCAGCGTGAGAGGAGCTCTGTCCCTGTGAAGGACTCCTCATTCCCATCCCAGTGACAGGGCTGTTTTGACAAGGCTGTTTTGACAATGCTGAGAGGAGAGAGATCAAAAGACACTGATCTGTGAGAGGCCTGGCCCCTGGAAGAAGAAAAAGCTGTCAGGATCTTAAAGGCAGGGGCTGCAGCAGCGTGACGGGGACGCTCCCCAGGAGAGCAGGTGACACCGAGGCAAAGCAATGCAAAGGAGAGACATTATGGGCACAGAGTTTTTGTTGCAGCTTTTCCTCCAAGCACAGGGTGTTTTCAAAGCAAAATATGACTTTCATTGTCAAGAGAAGCTGCTTTTAAGTTACTGCTCGCTGTTGTTGGACAGAGGCTCTCAAGGTGGGCTGGGAGGTACAAACTCTGGCTGCCACCTGCACTGGTGGTGTTTTTAAGAAACATGGGAAACTTGTTTTTAAGAAACATGGGAAGGATCTGACTGGGATATCCTGAGAGATCTGAGTGCTGAGAATCCAGGTTGTGTGGCCCTCACTACAGAAGAATGAAGGCAAGGAGTGGTCATTTGGGAAAGGATTTGTCCCAGGGTTTGTACCCAGGGCTAAAGGGGGAATCAAACAGGATGCCCTGCTCCAGTGTTTGCAGACATGTTCTACTCCACAGTGTGGAAACATCTGGAAATAATGTGGAAATAATAAAATATCAATATATAATATTATAATAAATAATAAAAATCCTTTCCTATTATAAGAAAATACTGAACAACATAAAACAGTTAAATACAAAGCACAGTTCATCGAGCAGTGCAATAACAGCATCTTCTCACTCAGCACCTGCAGAGTGAAACCCAGCCCCACAGCCAGGTCCAGGCTGGCTCCTGGGGAGCCAGGGCAGCATTTCATCTCTGAACAGAACTGTTGTGGCTTCCCGTGTTGGATGCACCCACCACTCACAGAGGAATCCCTGCAC